CCACAAAAGTGGAATCTGGTCTCTAGAGATGTTTCTGAATGTTTGTCACTGGGGACATTACTGAGCTTTTGTCCCTGTTCTCCAGATCATATTATCCCACTAAAGCTAATGTCTTATCTTGTGTCAAATGTCAAATGGTATAACTAATAGCCTAGTGTGTTAGTTGGCACAAACAACTCTTGTCACAGGAAAGCATGGGTCTTTCTCCTAGAACCTTGAGCCTGAATGGAAAAGTACAAGTCTCAGAGGAGATGAGATTAAATTCCATTCTCCTTCTGAAAGCCCATGCTCGAGGTGACTTTTTTCTTTTAGTCTTCATTTGGCACGGCTGAGCTAAATGTCTCCTACTTTCAGACAGACGCAGTGAGTGCTGGCTCGGACACAGTGCCCAGTGCAGGGTATGCGTTTCTGATGCCTTGTTTTCTGCAGCTGCATGCCATTAGCCACTGTCTATGCCTGCCTCTGTGCCCATTTCTGCCATTTTATCGCCACACGCATGGTGTGGCCTTAGGATTGCAGTGAATGCACTCCTTTATTCATCTCTATAAAGTGGAGTAGAGTTTGAAGCATGGTGAGACATGCTGTATTGTGCAATCCTGGGTGGTGAGTAAAATATAGAATGCACAGAAAATACTGTATACAAAACAGTTGTTAAAGTGCTGACATAGTGCTGTAGCAGTGGTGAATACCACCTCTGTGTGTTTTTTGTCTGGCGTTGATGCAACTGCTTAATTACTGTCTTCTTACTCTATTGAATTAGCAAACATTTTTGTAGCACTATGAGCATGTCTGCTGCTATAACTCAATCAAGACCTTATTTAGTATCTTCAAATATAGGAAAGATGAAGATTAATACACATACATAGTCATTGCTTACTTTACTTTTTCTTTCACTGAACTGAGCCATGTTTTTACTTTGCCAAAACATTTGTGTTTGAGCTATTTTTCTTGGCGCTAAAAGTACCATTGTTACATACTGTTGTGTAGTTTAATGACATCTGTAGTAAAACATGCCCAAAAGGGAATTGCTGCCCAGAAATGATGACCAGGATCCTCTGATGCTCTTATGGGCTATCACAGGGCTCCAGGAATGAGCTCGAGCCTCACATCACTGAGTCATTTCCTTTACAGGAACCCAGAGGATCCTGCAATAACAGCATGTCTGTGCTGACAGCCATTCAATGACATGGTAGTGGTAAACCCACGCATTTTCTGCCATCTTGCACATCAGTGTTTCTCTACACAGCTGAATTGGGAAATCTAAACCTTTGTAGGGCTCATTTATGGTTAAGATTTTTTTTTCTGTGAGTACTGAAATGTGTCACTCAGCAGAGTAGGATGAAGGGCAAAATCACTGTTTCTGTCAGTTTAGGAACCTTTGCAGGTGTTTAGTGAGTGCAGAGAGAACTCTTGATTTATGTCCAGTTCAGCTTTTACCTGTTACCTATACCTGTGTGGGAAAAAGATTTCACATACCAGGAATACCACCCGCTCTCTGACACCAACACCAGCATCAGCAGTCCTGTGACTGCCGCCGTATCTCCAACCACCCCAGTGCACTGCTGAACATGTCACGTCACCTGATGAAATCTGCATATTTGTAACCTGAGCTGAAAATGGCTGATAAGTAAAGTTTGCCCTGGTCCTTTTCTCGCATCTCTCCAATGTTTGCACTCACCACATGCAGGGTGAGTCATTGCATAGTCATTCAATTGGCTTAAATTACCTCCTTTCATGGTCAACAATGAGCTCAGCTGAAGAGACTAAAGCAGTGGAAGTAGAGCCTTCTGGGAATGCTCCATTTGTTCATGAATCCTTACTCTAATTGGTTGTTATTGCGACTGGCAGTCCCCATCCTGAAGGGGTGGAGTAGGCCAGTGTTTGCTTTATACTCCTCCTCAGTCTGCTGTTCACCAGGCTGCCATATATAACAGACAGTGGAGGAGAGCAGATTGATAGACAGAATCACATCACCATGGTCACAGACAAGGGCCATGATGGAGCCATACTATCAGCTTTTGGGATATTAGGGTAAATCACTGGGGCTGCTACTGATGATTATTTTCATAGTTAAGAATTTGACAATTGACAAATCACCTGCCTATCACAAGTGTGCAGACCCAAGGGAGATGACAACCAACTTTTTGCTTTTGTTAAAAGTAAAAAAAAGAAAAGCTGACATGAATTCAGTTTATTATATGAGACAGAAAAGAAACATTAATTCCTGGCATTGGTAAACATAGTGGAGCATTTAGCAGCCAAAGAGCCAGATATCTCCCTCTAGGTTTGGTGGAGACCAAAATAGAGCTAATGAATATGAAGAATATTACATACATTCATCAGGTGGTCAAAAACATGATATCCAATGGATACTAGAAAAATAGGTAAACTGTGTGTTGAATACCTTTGCTATAACTTCACAAGGTGATAATACATCAATATTGCGTCTTCTGCTGCTCCAAAGTGGCCAGAAATCAATTAATGCTGCTTTAAACTATGTATTTATTACAAATGATTTAAATAGCATTTTTGCCTTTGCAATGTGTTTGGACACAGGACACCACAGTTACACATTTGATGCTGTAGAGCTCATACTAAAATGTTCGAGTCTGTCAAAAGAAGGCCCCACCCAGAGCGAGTCACAGGCAGTCTATTTGCTCTGTGGGCTATTATGCATTGACTAACATCCCAGTAAAATCCCTCCCTTTGCTGTTCTCCTCCTCTTCTCCTCTTCATGACGTAGTAAGTGCAGTTACAACCCTGCTCCTGTGCTGGGACAAGGCAGCTGTTGTCATGTGCTCGGGGATAATGGGCAGGCTGCGTCTGACTAATGGCTGGCTCTCTTGTATCCCTGTCTGCTGTTAGCACCATGCCAACTGGGACATTCAGACCAATGATGCACTGTCAGGAGGGATATAGAAAATACATAAACACTGACACAGTCTGATGCATTGCCGTATGAATACAGCAGGGGACACACATACACAGACACATAAAGTCAATTAGACACACAAATATAAAGAACTGGGAGGGAGAATACAAGATTTACTGTTCACTTCAATCTTGATTCCCGCTGATCTTGCCAATCTCCCGCAGTCTGTTTCCTGTCATCTGACAACCCATTCATTTACCCCCATAAGCTGAAATGTTCACACTAACTACTCCATCAATATCCATAAATCTAACAGAACCTGTTACAGCTAAAGAGGAATCAAGATGCTCTGTTACAGAGAACGTGCCTCATATCTGGGAGAATGCAGCGAGGCTGGGCAGGACAATTTCAGAGTGATCCCATGTGACACAGACCACTGAGTCCTACACTATCTCATCCCACATGGGGTGTCTTGGTCCGGCTTCACAGAGACCAGATGAGGGCATCTGCTGTAAATGTGTGGGTGTGTATGGTCCATGTAAAATTGCAACTGGAGACTCACTTAGCAAGCAGACACATGTCCACAGACATGATTTCTTTTGTTTTGTTTTTTTAAAACATGATTTATACATCTTCCTCCATTTGGAAGATCCTTACAGTATATCCCCTTGTTTCTGCTTGAGTCTGGTAATGGCTTGACACACTCAATCAGCGCCAATATGCCAAGAAGACCAGGGCACTGAAGAGCTCCAGAGAGATGGCTGCAGCGTCCAGCTCAGTGAAACACTAGCCCGTCTCTCCTCTACCTCCCAGAAGGATGTTTTCCAGACCACAGTCACATGTTACTATTCTGTCTGGATGTTTGGCAGAAAGATAAACTAAATCGCAAAATTTGTTTGGCCCCTGTGCTCCACAAGCTGCAGAACTTGCCCCCCCCAATCCCCCCATCCCCCCATCCCCAGCACCTAGTCAGTCACACAGGCATTTCATAGAAAATAACCTCCACCCTGCAGCAGTGGAAAAAGCAGGGATGTGTGTGTGTGTGTGTGTGTGTGTGTGTGTGTGTGTGTGTGTGTGTGTGGGGGTGGGAGTGTACAAAACATTGCCATCTCTTACTTCTTTACTGCTACCAGTTCTTTGGTCCCTGAGAAGGAGGAGGTGGGGGTTTGTGGCCCTGGGCTGTCCGTTTATTCTTCAGCCTAACATCAGCCCCTCCCGTCCTTCAAACCTGCCTTTGGGTATGGGGTTGACACACACACACACACTAACGAGCACATGACCACCAGTTTCTCTCCCCCACTGCCTGTGATCACAGTATCTTCCCGAGGGTCAGCACAGAGTATCATCAGACGAGTGATCTCTCGTGTGTGTGTGTGTGTGTGTGTGTGTGTGTGTGTGTGTAGAGGGAGGGTTCGTTCAGACCCCTCTCCGCCCCAGCACTCACTCATGTGATCATGATATCAGCCCCGGAGCCTTAGGATCTTGGGTGGTTTGCTGAGGGGTGTCTTCACTTCAGGGACGGAGACAGCTATGAAATGAGAGGCATGAAGTGGTCAAATCAAAATAAGTTGTGAGATCCTCCTGATGCTGATATGTTGTGCTTATTTTAGCGTTGCAAAAATGGACCGATTAGTCGATAGAAAGAAAATAAATTGGCAACTATTGTGATAAATGATTTTAAAGTTATTTTTCAAGCAGAAATGCCAAACACTTGAGGATTGCAGGTTCTCAAATGTCAGACTTTTCAGCTATTCTTGGTCTGAAACCTGTTTTTCTGGTGAGCACAGAAGACTTTTTTACTTGGTCTTGATTCGCTCTGAGTTTATTAGAGGGTTTGTCAGGCAGGGAGGTAACAATCTGCCATTGATCTGATTTCTCTGCAGAAACTTGTGGCTTTTTCAGCTTTGAACATCAGATCTAGACATAGCCCAGATAAGTGTGTCCTGCCTGAAACTGTGTAGGTCTGGTTATTATTTGAATTGTGAGTTTTAAGGCCTCAAAAACACTCACACAAGGATTCTTTTTCTGTGCCATCCCTGCTCCTACCTTCCTCTCTTGTCTCTGTGAAATTAAATCTGATCTAATATGTCTATTGACCCTAGCCCCTATCTCTATCTCTCTCTCCCAGGTGTAGATGCTCCAGGCGCAGCGGGACCCAGCCTCCGTGTCAGAGAGGGACGAGGCTGCTCCCACCTGGGCCACAGCACTCCTCTGAAACCCGGATCGTGGTCTCTCTTTCGGAGCGCTAACCACCCAGATTAGAGAACAGGAGGACGACAGGGAAGCCATTTTGTGAGGTGAAGCTGAGTCTCTGTCCGTACCGACGAGGAGCCAGGCATAGTCATTGCCGGGATATTTTAAGTTGCCCTCTGACCTCCACTACCATGACGACTGCAGTACAGCCCAGCGAACTGGTGTTTGAATTTGCCAGCAACGGGATGGACGAAATCAATCAGGTATCGCTCTGGAGAAACCACATTTCAAACTTAATCCAGATGTTTGTTGCTTTTAATGCGTGACTGGGCCTGTAGACTACAATTTATTATTTGATCAAAAGACCTTTGGACCAGTGTTTGACCATCCATTTTTTAAAAGCCAGATATACTGTATGTGATCTTGTTGATACATCTAAGACTTTTCATAGCAGGGCAAACAAACCTTGTGTAAACAGCATGGTCACTGGGGTAGGATTAGTCGTGGCTCAGAGCCTGTGATCTTTAACTCTGACAACATGTTGGGGAACGAGGCAGGCGGAGGGGAGGATGGAGCAGAGAGGAGGTCTGGGAAGAAGAGAGTGGGCTGCTGGGAGCACAGAAATGGAAAGATTGAAAAATCTGCAGCGAGGTTAGGTTAGGGTGCGTGGGAGGGACAGGGTGGGACTTGGCCATCAATGTGTTTGTGGCATAAAGGTTAATGTGTGTGCATGCGATGTGAACCTGTGCCTATGTGTCTTTTCATTGCCCGGTCAGGTGTGCAGTTATTTCATCCCCACACCTGTGTCTGAATCCTGTGGAGCAGGCTTGATTGTAAGTGTGGTTGTATGATGTATATGTGTTCTTATATCTGTGTGTGTATCTAGAGTGGCAAGTTGTCACTGGATCCCTGAATAGCACCAGTTCAGGCCAAACCTGACAGACCAGTTACAAGGCTGCTTGGAAGTGATGGGATAATTCAACTAAATGACTTGTATTGTTCCAGTGTTCCAGTTTTGTTCCTTGCTGAACCCACTCAGCCTGTTAAGCAAGCAGCATGCCCCTATTTGCTAAGTCCTGGAAACACCCCCAAAAAGCAACAACACAGTAACATATGACTGCTGAGGCCATTTTGTTTCTGCTGGTTGTTGTTAAGATTTATTTTGGCCTCAATAAAGCTGTTTTAGCTCAGTGAAATCACAGGGAGGGTTCTGTAATGATTAGCCATGCTATATTGGTTTTTAAGTCAATAAGTAGCTCCCTAAGGTGCATTATGTAATGACTGTAGGATGATACTTAACGTTTGATCTAACAATGGGTAGCCACAAAAAAAAAACTTGAACTTGATTTGAAATAAAAATCTAAGTAAAGGTTTCTACATAGTCAAAGACATTTGGCTTCTAGTCAAACAACCCATTTTTAAACATGGTAGAATCTCTCATGTTACAAGCTGCTATGCTCTCAGATATCATGATTATGAGGATATTGAAAGCGTACACACAGTGGCTGGGCAGGTAAAGCAGAAGAGAGTGGGGTGTGGGGGGAACAGCTTGCACAGATGCTGTTGCTTTCAAAGGCAGAATGGGGAACTCAGAAATGTAAATCGGTCTGATTCTTATCGCTCCTGTTTCCCTACTAGAAACACTATTCAAGTCAACAAAGAGGAAGAAGCAGTTAAAACCTTTAGGATGTTCAATATTATCTGTCAGACTGTGTCACATGTCGGGCGCCTGTTAAACAACTCTCTCTCTCTCTCTTCCATAGTTATGATCTTGCACATTGCAACATGTTTTTCAAATTGTCAAATCAACAATACAAGACTTGTCTGAAGGTGTTCCCAGCAAAAACCAGTTAGCATCAAAACAACTGCAGAGAAAGCAGCTTCAGACACCTCATGCTCTGTCAGCAAACTGTGTGAGATTCAGGTTTCTGCACTTGACGGGGGTGGGGTGCTGCTGCTGCTGCTGCTGCTGCTGCTGCTGCTGCTGCTGTTTCTGTAGCTCAGCAGGCCAATAGTCAAAATGCCTTTTGTCTACACACGATTGACTCAAGGACAGCAAACATCATTTAAACCAAGACGAGGAGATGCGGTAGCCTCACTGTCTAGCTATCCGATAATATGTCTACCAAAGACTCGATTAATGGGAAACATTCAGTGTATGTCAGTGAGACATTGATAGTGTCTGCAGTCAAAGCAAAACTCAGGGTTTTTATTAGCCCCATGAGGCCTCGAGGTTTTGCTGCCGAGATGACATAAGCTATTTGTTGTTGATCTACAAAGTTATGATAGACGTCTTGTGGAGCCATCTTGCTCCTGAATCACAGACGATACATTATGTAGAGTGTATACAATTACTAATAAACAATCCTTGGGTAATTACTGCTGATCCTGCTCGGGAGGCCTAACTGTTTAATACCGTGTCCAAATAATGAGCTGGTCTGTTAGTTTCCTGGTTAAAGTGTAGCTGAAATGGGAGTGTATCCACGGACTGCCCTGTCTTCCCACCCCCACAAAACCCGGACACCTGGTATGCCCCAGGTCCAAACCAACAATGGACACTTGTCCAAAGAGACAGTTAAGCCTATATTCATGTTCCTCATACTGCACTGTTTTCTCTATCCTGTTCCTCCATTAATCAGGTCATGACAGTAAGACTGTGCTCTCAGTTGATCTACACTGTTTGTAAATTATGTAAATTTAAGGAGGCAATAGGCCGCCACTTAAAACTTTCTTTTTTTAATTAACTGTTTTTCTGTCGAGTGTCGGTTCAGGCAACACTGCAAATGTTCTAGTTATTGCGGCTTGTTATTTGTGGGGCAGCATTGTAAGTTGCACTCTCATTACAGGCAGTATAATATTAAGAAGAAATTTGTTACTGTTATGCAAAGGCTACATTCAATTTCACTAATCTTTTAACTATCCTAGGGCTATTCCTAACCCTGGTGCGCCGGGGCAGAGCTATGAAGACTTTCTATTTATCTGTTTTAGTGTGCTTTGGACATATAATAATAATACATTTAGAAAGCCATTCCTCAAACCCCCAAAGCAGCTACACTGCTCACACTGTCATGGTGGAAAATGATTTCTGAACATTTTTGAAGTGTAGTCTGCTGCCATCTGCTGGTGGTCAGTTCACTATGCGTTGTTTTGCATCAAAGTACCTGTGACCTTTTCATTTAAAACAAAAGTTTTCAGTTTTTTTTGATGATTTTCAAATCAGATCTGACTCTGGTGTTGTATGTTGTTCATACTTAATGAAATAAACAAATTGATAGCTGTCATTCAAGGTTACTAGTATCAGAAAAACATCACAATAAGAGCTTTGTAGGGCCATATGACTTGACTTATACAAAGGAATGAATAAGTCCCCATATCTCTGTCATTGACACGTACCAAGCGCCCAATGACCATTCTGTTTTTGAGGAGCACTCAGGTATGTTGGGCTTCTCAGCTGTTCCTCGATGGCTTGGCCCAGACACCAGTAATTCCCTCTGTACCCTCGCGTCGTCCTACATCGGGCTTTGCCATGCCTGAAATGAGACGGCAGGGTTAGAATTCCCAAAGCACGCTCAGGACATGCTGAAGGGGGGTGCTTGGCTGCAATTCATAACTGATCCATTAACATTCATTTGGGTTTATATAATTTCTGAGCATAAGATTAACTTCTCATGAGAAGTAGGCCAAATCAAACAGCTGGTTCCTGTCTTCTTCAGGGGGTCCCTGTGGGCCACTGCAACACCACAGAAATTACCTCTGCTCTATGCTATGTGCCTCCATATTAGCTGAAATTGAGTATGAATGTACAATATTTTACAAGGCAATAAAAATAAGAGACCAAATCCAGTTATAGCATTAATCTGATGTCATCTGGGGGTTTTATATTGCATTTATGATGTGTAGTGGAGGAATTAATGGTGTTTTTATTGCATATACACACGCGGATGTGCAAAGACCGTCAGCCCCCTGCTTTCCAGTGATAGCTCCTGTGTTACAACACCTCAAACCTCTCTCTGTATGTGTGTGTGTTCATCTTTCTCTTCAGCTGGACGACCCGTCAGTATTCCCAGCGGTGATTGTTGAGCAGGTGCCTGCAGCCGATCTGCTGCAGGTCTATTCAGGCCTGGAGTCCGATGAGGTGACCAACGGCATCATGGTGGACACCACTCTACATGTCGTGGAGGAACCTTCCATCTCGTTGGGAGGGGTGGACCTCTCGGGTAAAGACGTTTTACTTTACTATCATTTGAAGGGAAATGTGCTCAGTTAGGTGCACATACAACACACTAGTGTTTAAGTCCAGATCACAGCTGTTAGCAAACAAGTGGAAGACCACGCAAAGAAGGGAAATCACATTCTACACATTTGGTCCCTGCTCAGATTCACAACTGAATCTTTTTCTTTTTTAATTGTTAATGAAACAAATGTGAATCTCAACATCTTTGTAGTTCTTTACATTACGGGTCTGTAATTTCATAGGATCTTCTTAGAAAGAACTATATAATTTGATACTATTTGTTGGAATCTTTTTTATTGAATTCTTTTTTATTTCAAATGAGTCCCAAATTACATTGTTATTTATTTTATGCCTCTTAGAAATTATTTGGTATTTACAGTCCTGTAAAATGAAGTGTAAATATTTTTTAGCATGTACTTTTACAGGGCACTATTTCCTATTTTTTCTTTAAGTATTTGTATACTTAGTAGTAAAAATGTCGCAGACATGAAAGCAGACATGAAAAATGTTTCTGGTAGTCATGCTAGCCATTCAGCTGTATCCGACAAAGACCCAGACACATACATGTAAGCAATTACCACAATATACATAGTACAAGGATTTCTGATTAATGACTTTGTTGTCATCTTATGGACAGAAACCAGAGTTTCAGGCGCAGAGGACAGCATGGAGACGAACGAAGCTGCAGCAGCTCTTCTTAACATGGAGTCTCCAAACAACATTTTGGATGAGAAGCGTATGAGTAAGTTGTTTTGCATAGTATAAGTTATCCATAAGTATATATACATAATTTCAAAAATGGCAAAACTTCAGCTTTAATCTAACATTGTTTTAAGCATGAGATACATTCTTTGAGGTCTACTCATGGTTTGTCTGTGTTTCTGTATCTCTTTTTATCTCTATTTATGTATAGCATACACCTACGGCACTCTGCTGGAGTCAGACTTGACGTACACCCCTCTAAGGCCTGACCAGATGGATAATAGTGGCCTTGACATGTCCCTAGACGAGGACACTTCATCCATGGATGAGATACCCCAAAAGTGTCCCTTAAAACCACAGAAAAAAACCAAAGGTAATAATGTCGTCCCCCGCCTCCTTGTTAGAACACTAGAGCTCTTGGTGTTGTAGATAATTGCATGATTCTGCTGTGACCTCTCAACTTATAACACACTACCCCTCAATTTGAATCATAGTGCGGAAGCCGCGGGCAGTGCGTCCCTGCTCCCCTATCACCACCCCTAACCTGCCACTCAGGAAGAAGAGCAAAGAGGGCAAAGGTAAGCCTCACTAACTAGCCCATTTCTCTGTAACGAGCCAATAAAAATCAAGGTCTCTCCTCCTCTTGTGTGCGCTCTGTTTCCTCCTGTGGAGTGTGCAAACAGAAGTCCTGCAGTCCGGCAGGGGTTGAATCTGGGTGAGTTAATGGATGAGGGGATCTCAGAATGCAGTGTTTCACAGGGAAACAGAAGTGATTGCAGGCTGGAGGGCACATTGATGCTCTACCAGCAGAAGCAGACTAGTGCTGCTCGATGTGAACCCTCGTTGCACCATACAGTGTGACACAATGAGGAGGGGGCTGGGGACGGCAGGTTCAGCTGCACACATATACATCACCCTGTCATGGTGTCTGGGATTCAAATGACTATTGGGAGCGTTGCTGTTTTTAACCACTTCTGCCAAAACATCTCACAAGTGAGAGTAATCTACTCCCAGGCTTGGTACAGTTAATTCCATGACACACATGCGCACACACACAACTGACACAACAATGGTTATAAGAAAAGAGTAGTTTCTCCTGTAACCTCATAGGTGTGATATAACATTATACAGTAAAACCGAAACTACTAAATGAATTATAGATGTTTATAGCACAGCTGTAAGGCCCCACCATGAATGTCTGATGTGATTGAATGTTAAAAAACATGACTTCATTTACCCCCCCCCCCCTAATTTGCAGGCAACACAATCTACCTGTGGGAATTCCTTCTGGCTCTACTGCAGGATAAAAACACCTGTCCCAAATACATCAAGTGGACACAGCGGGAGAAAGGCATCTTTAAGCTGGTGGACTCCAAGGCTGTTTCAAAGCTGTGGGGCAAACACAAGAACAAGCCTGACATGAACTATGAGACCATGGGAAGAGCTCTCAGGTAAGGGGAACACAGGAATGAGGTCCATTTTCCAAAGCTCCTTGTCACGCACGTTAGCTCCCATGTCTCTGAACCCTGCAGACATGATTCCACATATATGTTTGTAATACTACACTAGAATGACAGTTTTACATTTTATGAGGCTGTTGACTTTGAATGATAATATTGTCGATAATGTGATTAACGGCTCTTTATCTACTTTTTCCTCTAGGTACTACTACCAGAGAGGCATTCTGGCTAAAGTGGAGGGGCAGCGGCTGGTCTATCAGTTTAAAGAGATGCCAGCTGATCTGGTGGTGATCGAGGATGAAGACACAGTCTCTGATGCCAACACAGGCTACGGGAATCAGAGATCTAGCAACGGACGTTCAGTGGTCCGTGGAGGGTCGAAAGGACACGGGAGGGCTCACAGTCACCACCAAGTCTCAGTGAAGCAGATGAAGAAGGAGCCTAGTGATGAATATCTGTACCCGGAAACCGACGGCGGACAGACTGAGCATCTACTTCAGTCTGTCCATGTGTTTCAGACCAGCCAAGGGTCAGTTGTCCAAGATCCGGCACAAGCTGTGAGGTAGGAGATTGGCAAGAGGAACACAGACATTCTTTAAATTACACACACTTTTACCAGAGTTTTTCATATTGGGAGAGTGACTGTCAGCTAAATGAAGAATGGTTTGATTTCATTTTTATTTGAATATAGCGCAGTGGGTGCTAGAAAACATTAATTTCTGATGAGAGGTTTCATGATCTTTCAAACTAGCTAGACTGATGAATCGGCAGGGGTGATAGTTGTTTATTCCGGATATATCAACGCATATCTCTGCAGAGAAGTAACATGAAATTGCTGTACAGAAATGTCAAGGATATGTTGGAGATAATTTAGAAACAGTGTCTCCAAAAAATTGCTTTTCCACCAGAAAACAGTTTAGTTTTCAATCGTAAAAAAATGTCTCAATCAATATATATCCTGGTCACAATTCTTTAAAAAAATGTTTTTAAAGGACTGATTAACATTTTGTGAAATATGCCTATTCACTCTCTTGCCTAGCATTAGATGAGAAGATATATACTATCTCATGTCTGACAGAAAACATCAAACTATTCTTGTAAAGGATCCTTATCAAAATGTTTTGTGTGTGTTATAGAAAAATACATATGAGTCGATTTGTTGTTATTGGACTTTTGTAATTGCCAAATATCAACATCAGTAGGGATCAAAAAAATAAATAAAAAATTCTGCATCAGACAGGCTTTATTCCAAACCCACAGGATGCTTCAATAGCAAAAATCTTTTCAGATGAGTTATTGAGGTGAAAAGCTTATTTATTTGGTGGTCCTGAAAATTCACAAATTTATGAACCCTTGACACACACATACATAATTACTTGACTATGGTGCTCATACGCATACACACATGCACAGAAATGCACTTGTCTGTGAAATTGACATAATATGACTGACTCAACCCTTGTCAACCTTTTTTTAATGGCTGTGACTTGTATGGGAGTCTTGAAACCTTGTATCTACAAAAATGTCAGCTTTTCCGAAACTGAGATAAACTCTTAAATTGCAGTACATGCTCCCTTTGTAAAGCTTATAATGGTCATTTTTTGTTGGTATCAGAGAGACATTGACCCAAATCTATGGTACTCTTTGCATCATACTGCACAGGTTTGTATACCGTTTGGCTTTTTCCTAAGTTGTTAAACATCGTCTGCAGTTAGCAATCAAGGAGAAAAATGATTTCTGCATTACAGCGCCGTTTGTTATATTAATAAGGGCATTAGTTCTGCTGTTTAGGATCATAGCTGTGCACTGGGTAACGTTCTCAATAGGGTTCCATTAAAAAATAATCCTTGTCTGTATTTGCAAAGATACAAACTGAATATTCAATTACAACAGCTCTGTCAGAAACAATGAAGAAACACGAGTACATATTCAGTTAAATTTGTCTTCTCAGGACCATCTCTGCTCCTGCATCACTTCCTGTGGTCCTGACATCTAGCGGATCTCTTCAGTCTGTTCCCCTCTCCACTGTTCTGGCCAACGGGGACTCCAATCACTCCTCCCCCCCTCGGGTTATTCTCCACACCATGCCCTCCACCACAGCAGGTAGTAAAGATGTGCTCACCATCCAGACGGCATCTCTAGCAGGTGGAGCCAACAGCCTGCAGGATGGCCTCCCTCAGCAGCTCCTTGTCACCAGTCTGGGCTCCTCCACTGTCTCCTGCTCCACCTCCTCCTCCTGCACTTCATCTCCAGGAGTCATTAGTTCCACCGCTTCCAACATCAACCTCACTCGCCTGGTTACCATCAACACAACCTGTGGGCAGACCATGGTGGCACAGCAGCCCGGCACTGTAATTGCCACCGTGCTCAAATCCAGCGACCTCTCTGGGCTGCATGTCAAAGAGGAGCTGCTGGATCCCAGCTACTTCCATTCGATGGTGAACGGTGATCCATCACTGGCATCACATACGTTTGAGAGAGAAGAGATCGAGGTTGGGGAAGCAGAGCTGCAGTATAGGACTGTGATCATTGATACCAGTCAAAGCCATGGCCAGGAGGCTGTGAGTGGAACTATAATTAATGGGCATTCCTCCCAGAACAGCAGCCCTAGTGAGGGCCTGACCCCTGTAGAGGAGCTGGAAGTGCGTGGGGAGATGTCCCTGCAGCCTGAGCAGGGAATCAAAGGGCTGCAGGAGCTGCCACTGTCTGTCCAATTGCCTGCAAACTTTATCCAGATAAAGACAGAGCCTGCAGAGGCTTAGGGCTGCAGGACTCCTCCACACAAGCTGAACCAAAAACAACAACCATTGCATCATTTTCACTGCAGACTTGATGTTTGTTTTTTTTCCTAACACAGTGATCTGATCAAAGATCAGAGCGAGGGATCTTGCTGGGTGTTGCTCTTAAAAGTTGGTCACTTCAGCCTCAGGATTTATTGTTTACTCACATATTTTGTGACCATGTGCCTAATTTAAAAAAATCAAGGGAGTGTTTTTCTAAGAATTCACTTTCCATAGACATTGCCCATTAACCCCAAAACACACAGATACACACACACACACACACACACACACACACACACACATAAAGCAAGCTCCCCCTCCAGGAGAACAGCCATTGGATTAACCAGGGATCCCTGTCTACCAAATGTGCCAGTTAGTAATTTTCTTATCTTTCATCTCATTAGACTTGTATGTTATCAGAGGAGAATGCAACAAACCAAAACTGGGGACTGAATGCCAAATGGTGCAATGAAATCAGACTTCTGAGAACGTGCAAAGGGTATATGTGTGTGTGTTTTTTTTAAAACCATATACAAGTTTCTGTTCCCACGGATGAGGGATGGAGTTGGTGTCACGGTGTCCTATCCGGTGAAAACAAAAACAAATCTCAGAGTTTAATTGAAGAGTGCCTTACAGGAAGTTCAAACAGCTCAAAACTCTTTCTTTGTGAAACGTCTGGGAAAAAGATGAAAAACGGACTAAATGGCTTTTCAGACTTTCAGACATCTAAGAACATATTACTCATTTATTTTCGTATAAACAAAAAAGGTATGCATTCCCTCTCTATTACTCCTGGCCTTAAAACACTGTGTTACTATGGAAATGGACATTTTCTGTCCACCAAGGACAACCGAACATCAAAACTGTTTGTATAGAGCTACAGACCGGAGGCACAGCAAGATAGGGAGGCACAAATGGAGAGAAAGAATACGCAGGATAAAACTGATTTTATCAGCCTCTGCTTCAGGGCCTCCAAGGTTTAAATCCTGTTTATATGAAATGGAATTATATATACATATATATAAATATATATATATATATATACATATAATATACAATTGAGATAAAATTTTAAGGCCATAGCGAATTTATTTATTTTGTGAATTTCTAAATTCTGTATAAAGACAGACACATTTGTCTTCTATTTACATGTGTAAACATGAGGGAAAATACAAAGAATATGAACATTAATACCAGGAAGTTTATTTGGTATTTTTTTTAAGACCAACATTTTTAATTTGTATAGCATTTCACATAATCAGCTTTGGCATTTTCTTGAGATTTGGACTTGAGTGCTCAGTGCAGCATCATTATTCCACTGTTATGTTATCTTATTGTAGATATCTCTTTGTTGTGTGTCTGATTTAAATATGTACTGAATGTGCTTTGGTTCCTTCTTTTCAGCAGACATACCTCTTTACCTTTTTCAACAGTCAAGCAGTAGGGACTATGCATTTGAAACAGTTATGTTCTGTGTACTGTATTAAACATCAGTGTAATCAGCCAGTAAGTCTTTGACATCATATCTCAAGTTTCTTTAGTTTGGTACAGTGAGTACCAGATCTGTTAAAGCTCCTTTCTCTTTCATTCATCTCATCTCCACTGGCCTTGTCTCCTTCCTTTTTTTTCTCTTCTCTCCACTCTTCATTTCTCCTCTCATCTTGTCTCCTCTCCCCTCGTTTTACTTGTGCCTTGTCTCGTCTCGCCTCCTCCTCTCCTTTCTTCTCCATTCCTTGTGCCTTGTCTCCTCTCCTCTCTTCTCATGTCCTCCCTCTCTCTTCTTTCTCTCCTGCTCTCGGGTCAGTCGAGTCTGTGCCTTCTTTATTTGCTGCCCCACTTTGTTAAGAAACTCTCAGCCCAGCCATCCGATTGGCCCCTCGGTTCTGCCCGGGGATGAAGCCATATTGATCCTGAGTGGTATCACAGCTAAATTGGTTGTATTTTCCACCCGGACTGTAGCTGCAGAGGGAGGACATTCAGACACACTGACCTCCATCTGCACTGGCACCTAAGGAAAGGAGTTAAATGCTGCTTTACAACCCCACATCAGCCAAAGGGCTCTGGGTCTGCAAAGACACTCTGAATGTATACTTATTGTTTAAGTGCATGCTTATTCAAATTTTTGACAATCATAAATTACACTGGGTTACATTTGCATTCAGACCTGTCAGTCTTTGAGTGGGGATTTGCTGCTTTATTTTCTTTTTTTTGCATTGTATGTATTCCTGTATCTCCCCTGTGTTTTCCACAAGCACTCTTGTCTGTGAGATGTTGAGGTATGTCCGCTGCTATGTTCTTCTCTTGTCTTGGGTTGTCAATTGCCTCCCTTATGCTGAACATAGAATAGGTTTTTAAGAAAAAGTCAATGTACTAATTAAAAACAAAATCTTCTGACCGAATATCCTCTTTATTTGTTTTGTTGGAGACAAGGTGGTTTTGAAATCGTGTGAGGCAAAGATAAAATGTCATACAAAAAATAAGACAATTAAAGTTGGAAACAAATAGCTCGCAAGGGGTTACTAAGTCAATTAATTTCTACAGTCGAGATAATGAAAATGAAGTATTTCTGCACTGAAAACTCAAAGTCTTATTGTTGGGCTGTTGCAGCTCTGAGGGACATTCGACCACATGGCATTTGAAGAGAAAGAAAAGGCTACTGTAGGAAACTGGATTGCAGCCATTGGCAGTCCAGAGACTGATTGGACTGTACTTAAGAGCACTGCTTCTCCAGTTGCTGTGGGTAGATGAATACATTAGCATGTGACATGCCCAGAGCCGAAGACAGCCGAGTCTGTCACCACAGCTTGCAGTGTGTGTGTGTGTGTGTGCGTGCGTTTAGGCTTTGGAAGGGTTACTTGGATTGATTCTGTTAGAGCATGTGTTACATTGATGTGTTGGTGTGTGTGTGTGTGTGTGTGTGTGTGTGTGTGTGTGTTGGGGGCTTGCATTGGTTTGGACTGACTGTGTGTGTGTGTGTGTGTGTGTGTGTGTGTGTGTGTGTGTGTGTTTTCAGGGTCAGGAAGGGGTGGGGGTGGTGGTGGTGTTGAGGAAGCTGTCTGGCAGCATGGCTTGCTTACTGTGCCTAGCTCTCTCTACACCCACATGCACAGCTGTGTACCACACAATTCAATCTTGCCATAGGGTTAACACACACACACACACTTTCACGCACACAGGCACACAGAAAAACAAGGCCAGAGGTTCAGCCACAGCCACCAATACAACCTTCACTCCAGCAAACATCTTCCTGAGCCTTTTTTTTGCAGATGGGAAAATAGTTTGAGACAGGAGTCTGAAATCATTGCACAAGCTCCACATTCAGCAACAAACAACCCTCCATTACATCTAAACAGACACTTCGCTTTTCTGTTCAGTGGTTCATCGATCGCCTGCCATATGGTAAGCGGAGGTTGTTATGGATTACTAAAATAATGAAAGGCTACTAGCAGCCGTTACGTCTGTGCTATTCCTTTGGTTAGTGAGTCAGGGACCCTGAAGATGGAGCGAGAGCTGGGTCCTGGGAGAGGAGGACTATTTCTGTGTCGCCTGCAGCCACTGACACAGCGCAAGTGTTTACTGCTGTGCCATGCTGCCTCTCACAGAGGGAGCAGTTGAAGGATGACGGCTGACATTATTGTGCCTCCAGCCTGCAGCAGGAACAGTACAGGGAGCGCTTATTTAACCATCAGGTCACCAGACTGACTGCAACGTTACAGAGAAAAGGAGTTGATGACTGCAATCACATGGCCATTGCCGCTATATGCTGTCTGTCTTAACTTGACAACCTGCAGCCAAGGTTAGATTTAAATGTGAGGGGTTTTACATACAAGCAAGTGTTTATGGACAGCAAGTGTAGCATGAGTGTAGCAAAAATCATAAAAATTGTGCAAAACAGCATCAGTGTCTGGTTTGATATGGCAGCAGTACACCTCTCTCTACTCAAGATGGCACTGGTAATACACGTGTCCTCAGCAGAGCCTGAGTCCTCAGTCTGGAATGGAGAGAAGTATTCCTTCAGGTCACTAATCTAAATACAGACACTCCTCATACATTGGTTTTTACTCTCCTCCGCCCCAGAATAGCAACTCATGGATCTAAATGAACGAGCGATTATTTGAAATGAAAATAAGCAGCTGGGAGTGAAGTTTTTATCCCTGCATTTTTTGATAAGTAACTAAAGGAATTCATTACCTTGTGAGCCTCGATGATAGTGGCCATTCCTCAGGCCAGGTAGGCAAAATCCTTTGAACTGTGCTAACCTGGTAGACATTCGGTATCTGTTTATCCTGCAGAGTAGTCGATCTTGTTTCCTCTCTTCATCAAAACAGAGATAAACAAGTACTGGAGGGGGGTTTTCCTAAACAGTGTATGAAATGCATGAGAACAACTGTGCAGGGCTTCATTTGAAGTGATATATTCTTTCATTTTGGTCCACAAAGGAAGAGTTCACTGTCACAGACTCAGAGATCTGCCTCGTATCTAATGTACTGAACCATATTATACTGTACATGGTAGGAATGCAAACTAACCCTCATTTATAGAGAAGTAGGGGTATTAAAAACCCGAAGACTAATAATCAGTTCAGTTCATTTGATTTTGTTTAGTTACTTTTTATTTGTTTGCATTTTTAGAGGAAGACATCCTTTTTCATGCTACACTCTGTCTTTGTGGCAGTGGTCTTAAAATGCAATCACTAAACATCTTGCTAAATAAGCCACATTTAGATGCTTTTCAAAGACTTCTGGAGATTTGTGTATTGGATACAAAGATGTGGATGCACCTTTTAGCATGCAACAATGGCACTGTGATCCATTTTATTTCTCTCACATAGGTGCAACTGCAGTATCACCACCATCCAGTGTCTCCTCCATGATGATTTTTAATTATGAGACTGTCTGTACTTTAAAGTTTGACTTTCATGGTTAATATTGGACTTTTGTCCCAACAGGCATGAGGAGCTCTCAGGGAGCCAGCTGTAATATCTGTATCAGCCTCTCAAGTCAGGGTGAGCCATCCCATTCAGAATGACTCTCAGGGCTTCCATGGCAATTTACTCTCACGACTACACAAAACAGTCCTTAGAGTCCTCTGAGACCTCGTCAGATAGACAACTAACAGCATCTTACAAAAAATAACACTTTTCACTATTTCCCAACATTTTGAGTGCAAAAGCTCTCCAACAACAGCAGCAGCAACACCAGCATGCTTAATGCATCTGTTTTAATAGACACTCGACTATTTGATGTGATAAGCGAGGAATAGTAAGGAATGAATTATATGAACACTGATTTTATGAACTTTTCAGAAATGCCTTGGGGGCTTTGTGGTACACTTGTCAGTTTATTTGAAGTATGTTTGCAATTATTGCATTTGTTAGCTCATGCCACTATTTTCTACTTGACATGTTGCTCTGGGCTATTGACATTATTGATTTAAAAAATAACAATATATGAACTCCATTCATGAGTGTATCCATAAAACATTTACATACAGTAATACGTTTCACCCTCTTTTTCACAAAATCCATTTTACTGCCAAATATTATTGATGTCACTGACATTATTATCCCACTGAGCCAACATGAGTCAACATCAAGATTTACTTAGCAGGCATAAACAATGCATTATTATGCTACACAAGAGATGCACAAGAGTGTTTCAGTTTATAAAATAGAAACACTAAAAGCATACATGTCTAGTTTGTCTCGTCAAGACACATTTAATTTGTCTGCTAATGAACAATGGGACTAATGGAAAAGAGAGAAGAGGGCCTGTCTATTCTATGGATAGTATTAGTCAGATTCAAACCCACACTACATCAGCTTTCGAACAAACACTATTAAGTTTCTTTCAAGGAAATTTAATTTTATTGTTTCATTTGATAGGACAACTGAGATTATTCATATAATAAAATTTTAATTGGAAAAAAAAATAAGGAAAGAGATAGCAACATAAAGAAGGCTTCAAAGCAAGCTATGACAACAAAAGTGGTCCATTGTTGTCTCTCTGTTTAACTTTTCAATGTCTCACATAGCTGGAATACTCTTGGGCATTGCACCTTGTTATTCTGATGACAGAACATCAATTATAAATGCCTATCTCACTTGCTTATCTGTTAGTTGCAGCCAGATGAGAGTTATTTCAGCTCGACAGATTGAGATGTGGTGTTACAGATTAAAATCGCCTCAGCAAAGAAGAAACTGTTTGAACAGTAGCACTATTTAAAGCATTTGGTGGATTGGAACAACAGGGAAAACAATGGAGCATAACACAACAGTAACTACATCACAAAAGACAGCTGAGGCGTCTGTGTATTTTTAATTATACTGTACCTCCTTAGTTTAACATGATACCACAAACAGATAAAAGACATGTTACTATATAATACATGGAGCTTTCAGAAGCGTCTTCTAATTCTGTACTAGCATTTTTGTATTATTATCTTTGTGTTTCTTTCCCTAATTTTGCCTTAATTAAAAACACTGAATTTATTGCATCTTTCCATAGTTTATTTTAGTTTTACACCATTTCTAACATGTTTTGTGTGTGTGCATCCAAGAAGTGCTGTATGACTTTCTCAAGTGAAGGAAAGTGATTATAAAAAACTGCGACAAAATGCATTATATATTTAGTTAAAAGCACCACTCAGATTGTATATATATATATATATATATATATATATATATATATATATACACACACACACACACACTGTTACATTACAGTATTAGTAGAGTCTGTTTACCCCATTAAGTAAAAAGTGAATGCATGACAAAGTAAGGACAGACAGTGCTGAAGTATTTTTTTTGCACAGATTAGTTTCTGGTGACTAAATTGCACCCATTCAACAGGATCAAATAACAAGAATACTAAATGGGTAGATGAGCAAAGAAAATTAGACAGCTGTAAACGACCAGTGCCTTTTAAGAAAGAATCAAAACACTTCAAATGCCATTTAGACTGTTTAGACTGACTAATACTCAATGGGCCAACTTTCAGATTGGATAATAATTGTGTGCAATGGACTGCTTTCGTCTCACAAGTGGTCTGGAATATTTATCAAAGGGAGAATTTGCAGCAACATAAACATAAACCTCCTCAGATCCTCCCCAGCATACGGGCGATCCACCAGTTGCACGGCATGACAACCTGACAGATGACCCGGCCTCCTTGGTAGTAGTATGGCCATGGGTTGAAGCCACCCAGGGGCTCGTGGTAGCGGCGGCAGTAGCGGTAACCACGGCGACAGTGCTGGCAGCAGTAGCCGTTTTCATCCAGACGGTTATCCAGCTCGATTCCAACATCTCTCTGCAGAGGACACAGGAGCGGGCAGGGTTACAATCACACACATGACAAATGCCAGTCCTCCCGAAGGCAAGGGCATGAGAAGAGGAAGAGGACAGGGAATGGCGTGAATTGATGAGTCTGCTTTGCTTGTAGGTCAGCAGAATATATGTAAAAACCAAACACGAGTTAAAAAAAAATCAGAATTGATGCCTGTGAAAATGTAAAGTTGTGCCATGCTTGATTACTGTGACAAAGAGATCAAGATAGCGGAGGGAGTGAACGAGCTTGATTTAAGCTCCAGGAGCATAAAACATGATATAATACCCCTGACCTTTCTGTTATACCAGAGGTAGCACGACTGCCGGCTGCACAATGCCCTGTCTCTGAATCCAGCATTCACGGCCTCTCTGCTATCTTCAATCAAAGGCACTCTAACGTTGGTAGTTACCAGCATAATTACACTATTTCTTTCATCTCTGACCTCTTAACTCCCTCTACCGAAGCCCACACTCTGCACCAAAATTGCAGCCCCTCCTCCAATAGAGCATTCAAATTAGAGCTCCCCACGTCTTGGCGCCCTCCCCCTGACCTTGACTTTAAGTGCATGGCACATTCCTAAAGCAATTAGCAGAGTAATGATCGCCTAACAAGGATTCTTTCATTTGCTCTTGCTGGCTGCCTCTGAATTTATAGAGGGGCCAAATGAAACCCAAACGAAAGGTAAATTGGGTAGAATTAATGGCCCTTGGATTTTCCATTGTGCTGGTTGGTTCATGCCCTCATAGACTCGTGGGGGCTGAGTGTCATGCCTTTGATCAAGAGTAACTCCAAATGGGGTTCGGAGAAGTGCCACTTAACTCACCGCGCAAGTTGAGGCAGCAACTGCCCTCAGTATGCATTTGACCACATTTCAATCTCTTTTAGTAAATGATTCCTTGGAGACAATCCTGCGCTGTCTTGTTAAACTGCTCCGATCCAGGAGTCGATGACTTCACATTCAGAACAAACCGGCATAATTCTTTTGCAAGCGCTTACAATGACTCAGCTACATGCAATAGTGCAGAACAAAACACATCCACTGAAGGGAATAGAAAAAGTGTGGCAACTGTTTAAGAGGACAAGACCCGCAGGAACACATGGCTGAGTTCCTTTACTCCCCTGCTGCATTAAGTACAGGAATTAGGAGTTTTCTTGAATCTACTCAGTGGGTAGTCAATCGCAGTGGTTTTACACACATTTTATTTTGTTTCTTTTCTGTACCAGCTAGCAGACTACAATCACATAGCAATAAATTCACCAAAAGCATGACTCATAAAAAAGTACACCATGCAGTTGATGTGAGCTATGATAAATGGAGCAAAATTACACACTCATGAGACATACTTAAAACACATAGAGAAGGTGCGACAGATGATATCTAGGGTAGCAAGGTTTGATTTATTACGATGACAAGCGCAGGTAGGCTTTTAATGATTTATTGTTTCAGTCAAGTTTCAGGTCATCAGCTTCCAGGCAACAATCTGTTATGGAAACAACACAAAAGTTGTCAATGGACCAATGATAATCTTATCTGCTCCTCACAGCCCAAACTGGGATGTTACAAAAAAACGGAGCTCCGGCTCAGAAAATGAAGAAAATATTTTATTCAAATGATGCCGCGTTTATCAAAACAAACAGCCAATAGGCAGCATTGTACCTTAAAGACAATTAATCAGAGCTATCCTTTTAAAACGGAGGGTACATATTAATCACTCTGGCTTTGAATTGATGTCTCTAGTGGGATGCTGCGGTGATAAGAATGGTTCACCTTGGGAAATCTGAGGCAGTCACTCAAAAACAAGCAGCATTAATGAAGAGTAAAAGCCATTACCCCCTTGCTGCATCTGATTTCATCACACACTCACGTATACACATGCAAACACACACTCACACAGAGACCTCTGTTCATAATATGAGGCACTGGATATGAATGAGTCTGCAGAGTAGAAAACTGCGTCAGTCATTCAATAAGATGTAATGAATCAAAGCACGACTCCTCTAATCTCCACACTTGTTGGTGTTATTTCACACACGCTGATCACCGCTCTTCATGAGCTTGAAGCACATGCCTGGATTTGTTATTAAATCTCATAGCAGAGCTCATCACATTCATTCTGGGATCAAAACAGCAGAGATAACATTTCTGTTTCATACCCTGCTTTGTATTTGAAAGGGTTTTTTTATGCTGAAGCACAGGACATTGCAACATATGAGAATGCCTCACCGCTTGGCCTGATCTCAGATTGTCATCTCACTGTGCTCTACAGTGAGGTGAAATGACAATGGAATTGTAATTGAATAAAGAGATAGTCATGTATTTCAGTAAACTCTGCCAGTTTACCAAACTGATAAGGAGCTTTCAGTGTAAAGATTTCTCTAGAGGCACAAACAGCTCCTGCATTCATGGATTTGAATTCAGTCAGTTTCCAGAATTCCTTTGCACCTCTGTTATGCATAGCCATCCACCCTGACCCTTATGCATGGCTTCCAGAGGTTTGTAACACAATAAAAACACTGCGACGCAGACCGAAACACACATCAAACATGTTTACACATATATGTGTGTGAGGTCAATTCATATTGGAAGTCCATCCTTGCTATATGGGTCAAGGACAGTGGTACTATCCCTTCAGCCTTGTCAGATGGTAGTTATTCAGTTTGAAATTTCCAGGGCCACCTCTCATACACAGTGCACTCTGACATGGCAGCCGTGGCAAAGGTCATTTTCATATATCTGCCAGCCTCTGTCACAAGGACCAAACAATTATTCTGCTTCACAAACGTGCGGACACATGGCACTGAAATTCAGACTTATGAAACACAGATGAATTGAATGCATGTTTTTTATGCGTCAGGCTTGCTGTGTGTGCTTTGTGTGTGTGTGTGTGTGTGAGTGAGTATGATAGATAAAACGCTGTAGGTAGAAGTAGAAAGAGAAATAGTGTGAGTAGCAGACTGTGTGTGTGTGTGTGTGTGCTTGGTTGTTTTCTGACTGTGTGCACATTTACATGAGTTCTGGATGAAGCAAAAAAGGTTTGGCTAACACATGTGGCATCCCACTGGAATAAGCGAGAGTTCAGACTCCCAATTACAGACTGCTGCCTGCCCTCTGCTTGGCCACAAAGGCCTTTGTTATCGCTGGACCCACAAACAGAGCCTGGATGTGCTGCTGGAATGGATTGCAGTGGTATGCATAACTCAGCTGATAGAGGCAGAACGTTTCAAAAGGAGAGCTGAGTTTTTCATCCCCGTGGTATGTTTTAATTGCATGGCACTGCATCTCCTGTCGCAGACGATGAGGGAGAAGACAGAGAAGCTGTGGGGGGAGGTTGAGGAGTTGAGCGGGAGGTGTTTCTGGGATAGGGCTGATAAATGTCAACATTATAGGACGTCTCATTTCTCTGCGTGTCTCTCTCCGTTTCTCACAGCTCTGAGGAGATGGCCGACTCATTATCCTTGAATTTAGCTTTAGTGGCTATTCACCTATAAGTGTGTGTGCATGTGTGGCGGATATCTTTGCACCTGTGTTCCTGCTATCTTTAGTGTGCAACTGTTATTTTATTTGTGCACATTTTGGGCACAATTCCTGTGTAATATACTGCTTTATATGATTTCCCCTCAGAGTCAGGAATAATTAACCATACAGCATTGAGTGGTTTACATGCAGTACACGAAAAATATGTTCCTTGGTATTTCCATTCATTTTATATGCTTTGATAATTAAAGCATTATTAATATAAGTGTAATTTATCTGTGCAGCAGTGAGTGACCTTGAGAGGGCTCCTTTGTACAGTGCTTTCCACTGCCTCAGAAAAAAGGAAGTAAAAGAAGGCACTAACGGCTTTAAGGCACAAGTTGCTGCCTTTGAAAGGCTGGATATTCCTCTCAATTAATGGAGAGACATTAAGGGAGTCTTCAATGAACTGGCCTTACTTAAACAGATATATAGAGCAATTGCTATGCCCTCTGGTGCACAAAGTCAGTTTTAACATCAATTAGTGAGAGATTTATATGCAGAAAGAGTCGAGGCAGAGCTGGAGCTGATTGAAGTGGCTCTACTGTATCTTGTGGTGTGGTCCAAGATTGACGTGGCGCAGAGGGGCCCACTTACATAGTCGTTTACGGCAAGGTGGTCCAGGACATCGCGTGTGAAACGCTGACCTGTGACCTCTGCGTCAGGTGTGTCCACATTTTCCATCTCAGCATCTGAATAAACACACAGAGGACAGTAAATGTACTGTTGTTGCTGAATTAAAATGAGAAAGCTCTTGGATTAATTTTTGGCTTGTACACTCCATTTTCCCAGTAGCTTGATGTTAATTACTAACATTCAGAAGAAATACTCTGGAATTTATTCCAAGCTTTTTCATGCTTCTGTCAAACAATGGTGTTGTTGCTGTTGTGATACTAACACACAAACCGTTTTTCACAGATCCTATTTGGTAAAGCCTATCAGCAGTGACGGAATGTAACTAAGTACATTACTCAAATACTGCACTGGCAATAATCTGCTTTTGGCTTAAACATAACTAAAAAGGTTTTGAATTCTATACCAGTCTGTTGGTGTATGTTACCTTGAATCCACCTTATTTATAATTTGATTTGCTGATTTCTATAGTATATATACTGGATTTCTATTAATTGTAAATGTGTTGCCCCACACTTCTACACAGTGACTAAATGTTTATTCAGAGCTTATGGTCTATAATTACACCCAGAAATTAGATTTTGACTACTATTAAATTTTAACTCCTGAATGAGTTGTCATACATCAGAAAAGGTTGAAGTAATCTAACTAACTAGACTTCCCCATTTATTTTTAGAAAAACTAAACTGACTTTTAGTACCCACATAACTACAACATTTATACTTTTTTCAATATAAAACTTAATGTGATGATGAAAGTAATTTAAATCAGCTACAACTCAACCAGCTAAAATTAATATATTAATATTTTACTTTAGATAGTCACATCTAAACATTTAGTACATTTAGCTAATAACACCTTTGTACTTTTACTTTGAATGAAGGATTTTTACTTGTAATGGAGTATTTTATACACTGTGGTATTGATATATTTAACCAAAGTAAAGGACATGAATGCTCAGTTTCTCAACTTTCAACACACACACACACACACACACACACACACACACACACACACACACACACACAGAGTATCCCAGGCTGGAAGCTTATATTGTTGGGAAATCATGCGGCCTCCACGGACCTACACATGGCCTTTGGGGATGCCCTCCAGCGAGAGTCTTAATAGACTGCGTTTAGAGGCAAAGATGCCCCCTGCTCTCACCACTCAGAAGGGAGGGATGGATCCAGTGGATGGGCAGCTCCTGGCAAATCTCCCAGATCTTGGAGTCGAAGAGGAAGGCTGGGTTAACGATGGGCTCCTTGGCAGGAACCCACACTTGGGAGTCCTCCACCTTCATATCCATGGCCTCAGTCTCATCCACCTGCTAGGAAACACCACACACACACACACACACACACACACACACACACACACAATATAGCATGTTAGAAGCTGCAAAAATGTCCAGGCCCCACACAAAGTATTGTCCTGCATTTACACTCTCCTCCCCTGAGCCACATAGCAGCTCCAGCCTCATCATTTTATCTATCACCTTTCTGTCCGCTGAGAGGGCGGCAACTTCCTGACTCCCACTGCCCTGACTCCCTCTCTCTGTCTCTCTGTCTCTCTCTCTCCCACCCTCTTCTCAAGCCTCCGGCATGGTCTTTCTATTATACATCATTGAAATTCACAGACAGTGATGATTTGACTTTTAAATGACTTTAGAAGTGGTCTTCATTACTCTGAGTGTGGCTGCAATATCGTTTAATGTGACAGACACAATAAAGCCTTGCATTCGCCTCCCTCCTTTCCCCCTTCCCTTCCTCCCCCTCCACCACAATGCTTCGCTTGGCACCCAGCACTATCAGTGGGCTTAATTTGTTGATACTGTAGTTCATGAGCTGTAAAGTAAACTATTATTGCTTAATGATGGGGTCTACATGTCAGTGTTGTCTAATAGAGACATATGAAGGGGATTTGGTCTCCCCTAACAGTGCAGATATTTATTTTCTTCATGTATATGTAAATACACACACAAACAAACCCCTCTTCCCATTCCCTTGTTAATTAGCAACCCAGAACAGAAAAACAGTTCACTTGACAAATGTTTTTACAAGGTGATTTTCTCCCAGTCTAAAGCTTAATTGCACATTAGTTAAGCTTGACGTAGAATCCTGGGGCTATAGCAGGAGCAAGAATCATTTATATCGGGTCGTGCCCCCTCCCACACGTTCACTGCTGTCACTCTCGCTTGAATTAGAATTTTGCTTTCTGTGCTGCTTCTTGTTTGTCATCGAGCGAGTTGTGACCTGCAGAGAAGGGAAAAAAAAACTTAAGCACATTCTGTCACATCAAAGATTGTGTTTGGGCTCGGGAGGTGCTTAGCCCAAGCTTTTGACACACTTTTCCCCACTTTTAAGCACCGGCCAGTAGACTAATGATGACTCGGAGGACTGGTGTAGCGGGTTGTGGTGGTTCGGTGGAGGGGTGCTCTAGCATTGAGCTAGTGCGCTCACCATTCCCGTGGCTGCAGAAATTAAAATCAAACTCGAAGAACACAAACAGCACTCTCTAATTGGACCTCTTAACCACTGTAGACAAGTGTGTCTTCTCTGGAAAGTAAATGGAGGTCACGACATGGGGCTCACAACATGACTTTGACTTCACAGTTGAGAAACGACTCCAATAACTTGTAGGAGAGGGCCCAGGGGGAAAGTGGTAAAGGTCAGCGTTTTAGCATGGGGCAGGGATTTCTAAATGCCAGTTGACAAGCACAAAGACAACATGATTACAGTTCTCCCGTTTGTACACACTTCTGAAAGGGTTATTTTGCTGTTGACAAATGATGTATTATTAAGACACAAACAACTTTTTATCAAGTATTGGACCTTGGGAATGATTCTAATTTGTTTTGTGTGGCCTGCTCCAGGTGCATGTGTGCATTCTGCCTACAGTGCACAACTTAATTACACACCAGTTGTGCTATAGGTAATGAATTTACCCTCTCCTGCCACTGTGTCCTAAGGGAGGAAACACTGTCTACATGACACATTGTTTAAAGTGGTGCTATGTTTGCCAGAGATCAACGAAAATGTTCTCACAGTACCCAAGAGCTTTTACATACTGCACATAGCATATTCAGGGGGTTTCATTACGCAGTGTACCAGGTGGTCAATTTTAGTTTACACCCATATTCAAGGAACTTGCAGTGAGAGTGCTGCCACTTGCTTAAGGGCACTAAAGGCCTGATCACAGTGGCATTTAAAACAGTGAAATAATCAATTCATCTTTTTTTCTAGTGAGGGAAAAGTAAATCTGTGCAATTTTTTTCTTGTGGACTTCAACTTTGGTGACCTTTGACATGCAAATTTGTGCCGCTGACAAAAATAGCAAACTGTCTTGAGAGTGCTGACCTTTGAGGGAACTGACAGCAGAAGAGTCCAAAATTGAGGAAGTTATATTAGCTGTATTGTACCATCCACTTTTATTTAACACTTGGTATGGTTCACAGACAATTATGAGACAGGAGTTGGTTGTCAAAAATACATATTTCTGAACTTATTGTCCCGTTAGCCACCGTGCTACCAAGCTTGCTAACAGACACTTAGCAAGCCTGCTTGCTTGGATAGAATAGAAACAGAAAAAAGCTCAGATAGTTATGTGTGATAACCAGCTGGTTAACATGTTAATGCTCACTAGTTTACCAACTAGCTCTGCAAGTTGTTAGTACTTCGCAAAGAGCTGCGATACTTTCTGGTGTGATCCATATGACTGAATTTGTCACCAATGTAGGAAGTTAACTTTTCAGCTTTTTGTTGTAGTCTCACTGGTCACCCTGTTATTAATTGAGCTCATATCTTCAAGCAGACAAATATGAAACAAAACAAATGTACTTTGTGCCTGCAGGACTTTGGTGTATTCACATCCTCTAAAGTGGTATTGTTCCTCAGTGCGCTGGTTTTCTGTTTGCAGTTGTAGTCTGAGTGGGAGGTTTTGGGTTGCTGGGTGAGCTTTGGTCATCCATATTAAGTGGCTGTTTAATGGAGCAAGCAGCATCCGTTGACAATGTTAAAGGGTGTGAGGGAGGCAGATGGCGGTTTCTGTGTCAGACTGGGGTAACTGGAATGAAGCTCAGGGATTACTCCCTCAGACATTTCATAGAGGAGGCAAATTGAAAAGGGAGGAAAAATCCTGGCAAACAATTCATGTTTGTCACCTGGTTCTCCCTCGCAGGGGCTGTATTTCCTTATCAGCCGCTTGCAGTTTTTCCTGCAATTTTTGCCACTGTTTTTCACCTCGGCTCTAAAGCCTGCCACGGCTGCTCTGAGCCCTCTTTCCTAAAAGCCTGCGGCTGGGTTAAGCTAGGAACCATTAGTACTTGGCTTTAACCCCTGTGAGCTTCATGTGTGCAACACCTGAGGAGGAACTTCTTCTGCTGATCTTCTCCAGGGTCACATGTGGGTGGATGCTCACAGAGGACAGATCAGGTGCCGTTGTCTAATGGACAGACCTTGATGTGGTCAGACTAATATATATGATATTGTTGTTTCCCTTGTGTAATCCATTGTTTTGTTGAAAACCCATTTCAGCAATATTAGCAGTACACAGTGGTGTAACTAGTGGAAAAAGGAGTAAAAAATAAACATACCTTCTTTGCAGACAAAATCGGTAGGAGAATGTTTTTTTAAACATATGAATCATTTAATTAGTTTATTAGTTTTGGGAAATATGTTTCTTTGGTGTCTTGCTGAGAATTAGATGAGAAGATCAATCCCACACTCATGTCATCAACAGGTATTGGCTTTGTGCAAAGCTATAAGCATAGAAATTCCAGTGCACACCCGAAATGTAAATGCTCCGTATTTGTATAGCGCCTTTCTAGTCTTTTGACCACTCAAAGCGCTTTTACACTACATCTGCATTCACCAGTCATACATATTCATACACTGAATGTGCTCAAACGGAAATTAACATTCACACACATTCATACACTGGCGGAACAGCCACCAGGGGCAATTCGGGGTTCAGTATCTTGCCCAAGGACACTTCGACCGTTGAAGGATATTGTAGGCCTTCCGATTAACGGCCAACCCACTCTACCTCCTGAGCCACAGCTGCCCCAAAATGTCTAGATCATCTTAATTTATTAGTTCAGCAATGCATCATTACAACAATTTGGTTTTTGTACAGATTAAAGGGAAATAATTAAATATAACGTATTTGCTTTAGATATAGTTAACAGTTTTTTTTACCTTTAGACTGAGCCAGGCTGTTTCCACTCTTTATGCTAAGCTAAGCTATTTTTAGCTGCAGGCTGTAGCATCAAACATGAGAGTGGTATTAAGCTTCTCATCTAATACTCATCTCTTCTCATCTAACTCTCAGCAACAGCAAATATGTTGCATACGCAACATAATTAGTAAATTATTTTTAATTAACATATCTGATAAGTTGCAAAATGTATCTGTAAAACATTCAGTTAAAGCATATTTCATTTGTTTTCCTACAATATCCTTCTCTTGCAATACAATATACAAACGAAAGCATTATTACTTTATTACTTTTGTTGTCTAAACTTAATAACACATGGGATGTGGGATGCAAGTCCTGCACTTTGTACGTGGACTAACCTCCTTAACCACCTCTCTACTACAAAAACACTAACAAACGTCGCCTGTGAATATAATCCAGGCAGCAATTATGTTTTCCCCAAAACCTTCTTGACATAACAAATTATTATTATATACATGTAATTTTGAGGAGACAAGGTTGCATGTTTGGCTGCCTGGTTATCACACTATCAGACTGACAGTTGATTCAAGGCTTCTTGCTACATGTACTTTAGTGTCATCCCATGAGGCAAGGCTGTAGCAGTGTATGACTATTCATAGTGATTTATTAGAACAACTTAATGTAGGCTTAACCACAACTTTAAAACACCTTTTGAATTTTTATTTTATTGAACATAGAGTAGAATCATCTATTTTGTTCATGGCATGGCAATAATAAGGGCTTCCGGAACTACTAGTATAAGCCCTGGTCACTTTCCTGGCCTAAGATGACTTAGATCACTTTGGAGCTAAATTAAGCCAATTAGGCTTCACAGTGCACAAAAGAAGACAGAAATGGCAAGGACATATGGCTCTGCCTGCGCAATTAGATTCTGTAAACATGGATCAGACATTATGAAGATGAGAGGAAAAACAAAAAAGAAGCAAAAAAACCCTTTTGGTTTTTGGGTGTAACAGCTTGTGTTCTTAAAGTTAAAACTGAGACTGGCTTTGGCTTGGACTGACAATTGGTTTATTCAGTTTTTAAAATGAAACCGTGAGCGGGGAGCATCAGATATTTGCCAGCTACTGTACTTCATCCCAGCTGCAATATGAAATGTAAATGAGAGCATGCAAGCAGTAGAGACATTCGAGAGAGGGATTTTCTCTTTGAACATACGGCCCACTCAGTGAATTGCACTGTGACACTGAAAAATTGGGAATTTTGATTGACTGAATTTCCTCAATTCCTTTTGCTGAAGTTCACAGATACAAGTACAAGAACCCAGAGAAGTAAAATGAATCACTGTAAACTTGGAGAGGCAGCCTCGTGAATTTTACAAAGAAATCATCTTTAAAAAAATACCATTTTAATGGCTTACCTCTCACTCAGACCTCTCTTGCACTCTTCCCCCTTTAGGCTATTTTGGTAGAGCCTTTGGAGGAGATGATTAAAAATTAATATTGGCTCAAGATTGACAGCAAACACCATTTGATGTGAGCCACAGAGAGGCTATGGGTTTGTGGGCAGCTTTCTGATGGTTTCACAGGCACCACAAACCCCAGTTTATTCTTCAGTGAGAGGGGTGGGGGAGATAGGATAAGATGGACAGGCTGAGGATTTGTGTGGTGCTCACAGTGCTCTACTCTGGTTATCTCCCTACAATATGCATGACAGCCTCTGTAGGACTACAGAGAGTCTGAGGTACAGACAGTTGAGAGAGGAGGCATACCAGTAACTCTGTGTCCTCAGCCTCCACCTCTGCCACTGCGGGTAGTTTTCTAGTTTGGGTCCTGATGTAGCACCTCTGATGTTCGGCAAACCGGATCCCAGTGATTCCCTTTGAAAAAAGAAAAAGAAATGAAGGGATACTCAGAAATTCAGATATATGTATCATTCATTAGCTTTCTGTGATGTGGGTATCCAATAAGCACTGGGGCGATCATTTTAAAACGCTCAGCTTTCTGCTGATAATCAAAGCTCTTAAAAAAGTCAAAGAAGTTAAAACCTAATGAGTGAGAAGAGGTGTGTTTTGATCTTCTTTTCCTCTTTTAGCCTGGTATAAAATTGATGACTGCTTGGCCCTAGCAACATTGCTCTTGCTTTCAAGCTGAATAGAAGTAAAAGGCGCTCCACCATGGCTGTGAAATATGTTATAGCAGGATATATCACACAGGAGAGCCAAGTGACATTGTTGAGAATGAAGTGTTTTCTACAGAGAGTGCCCCCATTGAATTAGGCAGTCATAGGTCCCTGTCACTCTCTTAATCTGCGCAGTCAAGTGTGGAGTCAGTCTCTTCAGCTCCACTGATGATCCTCCACCATGTGGACTGTAGCTCTATTCAGTCTGACACACAGCGTCAATAGGCAAGAAAGATTTGTTAATTCTCTCTTGCTGCCATTCTATGTTAATCTAAGATATTCAGCCGGAATAAGTCTGAAAGACTTTCAGTAGATCAGATTGTATCCAATTTATTTTTTCTGCAGAGTAGAGCTGCTCATTCAGCAGACTGTATTAGTACAGACGGAGGGATCTACATCTGCCATGGCTGCTTTAAAATTGTATCAACTGAAAATTGTATGAGCGGTACCATGAAAATGGACTTGATTCAATCTAAATTTAATTACAGTAACACGGTGATTGCTATGACATCTCCTTTGAATTGGTTAACTTGACCATGTGGGTGCTGTTTCTACATTTTCTGTGGTGCTGTCACTCTGAAAACCAGATACCAGCAGCACAAGACATGATACAAAGTGATGCCTGTCATAATCTACTGCGTGTAATTTCATCCTTGCGGAAAAAGGATGGGGCAATAATAGTCTCAAGCACAAAAGCATAATGTTTATGCCGGGCTTCATTGTGATGAGTCTCTGTTTAATTTGGGTGTACTGAATTGGTGAGCTGCAGCAGAAGAGGAGACGGCAATGTTGTGATGAGATACAATAATGATTACTGGGGTTGGTCAATCAGAAAATGAAGAAAGACACATTAACACAGGGATGAGAAATGGAAAAGCGATGTCATTTCAACAGACATTGTTTAAATATTCACTTGGCATATCCATGTGCAAGATGCTCATCTGTGTCCATTCAAGAGAATAGAGAACATGTAACTACATGCATTATTCAGTTGTTGTATAAAAAAAAAATAAAGGCATGTCAGAAGGTATTAGTTTGGTGCCTTATTATCAATATAATTTTATGTTTTTTAGGGACAAAGCTGAAAAGTCATATGGGCTCAGCCAGTTGTAGCTGTCAAGATAAGGTTACCAGCTACACTGTAGATAATCTATGAGAGCAACATTGTTGGAAAATAAATTATAAAAAATGTAAACCAAATCTATTTAGAAACAAAGCCTGTTTAAAAACATTACATCAACATATAATATAAAGATTGGCTACATTCACCACCTGTTTCTTCCAACATCTGTGGTGATATATGAATGTTGGTTATCTCCATCTTCACGTGAGATGCCATTTAAAGGTAAGGAGCTAAAACAACCAACACCTGCTGCAGTATGGACTGAACCATCACTGAATCTGGTAAAGGCCGCAATGTCTGTGCGGTGGAGCTGATGTCTGCTGAAAGAAAAAGAAGAAATTCCAGAAACACTTGCAGTTCTGAGATAGGAAATGTTATGATGGCACACTGGTGCAATGGTGCTGTGCTGAAGCTCTCTGAAGTCCTCTGATTTCTTCCCACAGTCTAAGGGTGATAGTGCCTTCCTACATGTCTCTACTACTTGTATTAGCTCTGTGATAGACCTGTCCATGGTGTATTCAGCCTCTTGCCCATTGTGAGCTATAGGATAGGCTCCAGACTCATGTGACACCGCAAAGGAGGAATTGGATAGGTATTGCATAAATGTTTTACAAACATGAGGGACATTATATTAGAAACACCTTGTAAAGTTTTTATTTTAGACTGTTTGAAGTTTTCTGCTGTGATGACAGCTGGAAAAAAACACCTTTTAGCAAAACATTATCTTGTCGGACTAAACCTTAACCAAACCTCTACCCCGAAATCTTAGTTTTTCTTGCTTCAAACCTGTGCTGTATTGTGTTGTATACAGTAATTTGTGCTGAACCACCAAAGCAGTTTGTCATTTGATTCAAATACAATGTAAAGATTGAGATTAAGGCCAATTTTCCTAAATGAGCTTTTGTTCGCTTGTCAAGAAAATTTATTATGAGTTTGTTTTAACACAAAAAAAGACCACGGTGATTCTCTCTCAGGATGTTTCTATCTCTATTTTCCCTCCTTCTCTCCCCTTAAAATGAGTGCAGTATTGGCCTGAAACAATAGCTAGTGGATTTCGCTTGTGGTCCACCGTCCTGGTGGCATAATCCCCTCATTTTCCATTCCTCACACAGCCCTCGGGCTTGATGGAGACTGGTTTAAAAGTGGCTTCGGTCTGTGTAATAACATGCAACATCATTTTTGTGTATTAAAAAAATATATTCTAGCATCAGCGCACAAGGTACCACTTAATCTAACCTATTGTATGGTTTTGTGGGTTTCCTTCCCCTTTTTTTCTTTTATTGCAATACGGTTTGAATTACTCTGCTCACTTGCTTGTTTCTTAGTCTTCCATGGTGGAGCACTGAATCAACAACAAATCTCCTCAGGGGAAAGGCTTCACTAACAGGAAGTGGAACAAACAACAGGCATGGTTATGCATGTGGGTACGTGGGACACACACACACACACACACACACACACACACACACACAAGGAGAGAGAAAGAAATAGAGAGATTGATTGCAGAGGTGAAAGTTTTCCGGGGCTGTGCTTGGCTTCCGTCATATAGCCATTTTAAATTCACAAAGACCATTGTAACAAAAAAACAATAACAACTCATTGTAGGTTTTTTTTTTGGGATGAGGTGTATCCAGTAACATTCAACCTTGCAACCCAACATTTCACAGTAAATAATTGTGTGAGAATGAGAACATTCATTTCCCAGTCAAGCAGCATGCTCCCTTCTTCGAGGCGCAGCATGTGTAACTTCCTGCACACTCAAGCAGGATTTAGGAATGAAAGGTAAGTTTATGAGTTCTGCTGCAGTTGAAAAAGGTGTGAGAAACAAATGAAGATGGGCTTGTTAATGGTGTTTGTCCCTGTACTGTGAAGAAATTACTGTAAATTAGAGGGAAGAAAACAGTATTTTTGTAAAAGACCAAAATTTCTGTGTGTGCATATAAACACACAAACTCTAAATGAGCACAGTTACTGATCTAGATTCAATTACTGATATTAAGTGTAGGCATTTTTCAAAATGTATTACTGATCCCCGTGTACACCTGTGAGTGTTATTTCTATTATTTTGTTTCACAGATGTTACAAAGGTTTGTCACGCCTTTTTTTCCCATTAAGAGTGCCAAAAGAGTGGAAAATATCACTGAGGAAGAAAATATGATTTCAACAAAGGATAAATGTTGTCAACTGCCTCTTTGAAAAGGGCAGGATGTGAACATCATAATCCTTTCTCCGCTGAAGAGAAGATACAATTACAGCATCACGTTTGCAGAAAAGGAAGAATAGCTTACATGGCCGATGTTTAACCTTTTACTCACATTCTTGAAGTCGTGCACCTCAAGTATCTCCTCACTCCCATTTCCCATTCTGAAGATCTCAATGCGTTGACTTGGGTTAATCTCCATCAAACTGTCTGTCTCTACACCATCCAGCACAGCTTTGTACTGATGATCATAAACCTGCAATGAAACAGACAACCATACACCACCATGACTAATAGATCAATGTGACAGTGGCATATTTATCATTGTCATTGTTTTTTGCCAAAGAATAGTAAAAGGTCAGTAAAAACCCCAAATGACGTTCAGACTTGTTCACCATTTAACAACTGAACATAGGAATAACCTGTCCAGACTTCTAAATAGCTGCTCACATCTAAGATTTTTTAGCAATTCAAATAGGTCTGGTGTTGACAGCTCTTGTTCAAAGTACAGTAAAATGTACAGTGTAGGTGAGATTGACGCATCTTTATAGCTTGTTGTGATTAAACTTAGAGCAACCCTTAAGTCAACATATTTTTTCCAAGCGAGGTGAAAAAAGTTAAAGTTAATTGCTTCTAACAAACACTAGCGGAGCTTGACTGAAAATGACAATGACTTGACCGATATGCCACTTGATTCTGAAAATAATCACTCAAGCAAAAAATATTTGACATGAACACGATGTCATACTGACAAATTAAATTAAATTAAATGGCAATTCAGTCTGATTATCATGGTGATGAAAAATAGGATAACAAAAACTGGTCTTAGGAGTTTAAAATACAATATACAAATTTGTGTTAAACCTGCATTAACAAGCTGAAAACAGTTGCCTATTGACACAACTAACAGCAAAATGATATTCCTTGGGGGTCGTGTTTCTGGCTACCTGACCAATCTAAGTCCAATATTCACTCTCTGTGTTCACCAGCTGTTTGTTACCTGATATTTGTTGTCTTTCTGCTATTTTGGTACTGGGCAGGTAACGTATAGTGGGTTTATCAAAGTTTTGTTTTTGCTAAAAAAAAAAGGTGCCTGATACTGGAAACAAGGTTGATGAGAAATTTCAGTAAAATTGCAAAGCAGTTTAAGTGTACAACATCCATAATCTGAAACATCAAGGCAGAATATTGCCAGAATATCTTTGTCTAAAACACAACATCTAACTGATGCAGTCAAAATAACAGCTGCTGAAACTGCTTTATTCATTAACCATCAGTTATAACAATCATTTGTGCAATTAAGACATTTGTGTTGACAGGCTGTGAAGTTAAAGAAGAAAATATGTTGGTAGAAGGTGCCTGAGGTAAGTAAAATAAAGACCGTTTGAATCTCCTGTACAGTTAAAGCCTTCTCTTCACTGTTTCCTTAAGGCAGTGTTGTTTATCACAACTGCTTGCTTATGTACTGTTCTTGGACATGCATGGATAGCTCTTAAAATTCTCTGTCTGAAAAATGATTCATGCCCACCAGCTGAAAATATGCTATTAATATTTATGTGAGGGTTGTGTTATGATGAGAAATATATTGCTGAGTTCATCTTCATCTGTCTCAGCGGCAAATCAGAGCCTCGCCAATGAGACGCATGATTAATGAATACACTCGGATGGGAGTCCATCAGGATTTATATCCCTCATCTGAAACTCCTCTGACGCTCTAATACAAAATTAGCTTTTACTTTACACTATTTAACATGTTTGCTTGCTTATATGCAGTATCCAGGACATTTAAATACATTGCATCACATGTAGCATATAAATATGACTTTTTGTCTTTTAGGTAGAAGAAACAGAGTAATAAGGATCAAATGGGATATAATTCTTAAAAGAAGATCTCTGTTAGAATGGCACTAACCTATAAATCTCCATTAACATGGGTCACAGTGGCTCCGAAGTGAAGTAGAACTTAAAATTGTCAGGAGAAGCCAAATTAAGATGGGCTTGAAATTTAAGTGTCAATTGAGCAGTTATAGATAAAATTGGGGCTATTAAACAGTCTGAAAGTCTGTGTGGTGAATTAAAGTTCTATTTGAGCATTTCTTTTATATTAACATAAAGGTGGAATGGGGGAATAGATTCTGGAGGCTTATTGATTTATACTAAAACAGTGAATTACATTTTCAGCAGGCTATCTGTTTTGATGAAAATCCAGCAGTGAGAATCTCCCCACCGCACCAGGTTGAAATAGATAATAATGTATTACAACAGTTTGACTTCAACTGGTTCAACATCCAAAGCTGCTGTGCACCATAATTGGCATTCTGAAAATAGAAATGAATAGCCTCTGCATGGCCTCTTTTGATCCTTAAAGATGCTTCGGTACATTAGGAACTTATGCTGCAATAAGGGGAAGATTTTAAAACGTAACAAAATATTTTGACTCACTGTAATGACGATGATCACTACAATTTGTTTTTGTGCAGATTCCTATTATTTTCATTGTGCATTTATGTTTGAAAATATGCAATGGGGAGATGGGGAGAAAGAAGACCTGTTTCTTACAATATATTTACTTACCTTGCACTATTTCTAAATAGCCATACACAGAAACTGTCACTTGGCTTCAAAACCTATTTTATTTTAAAAATACTGTGAAAGTTAATTAGCTTCCTGTTTGAATGGCAGATAAAAGGACAGCACATAGGAAAGGCTCCAATTTATGTTACACTTTCTGTGCAAGGACTTTGAAAAGGCTACAAAGAGAGTACTTTGGTCACAAAGACTTTAAATACGTTTTAAACTCTTGAAACCACTGTGACATTGAAGCTGCAGTAGGCAAGATTTAGTTAAAAATATACCGGGCATGTAGTTTGACAAAAAAAATCTCACCTCAAAGTCCACTTACTGGATCAGAAGGGATTTCCCATTTACAGCAAATGGTTATGCAGTTAAATTTGGAGGAGAGGCTCTGCTCTTTGAAGGATCTCAAAGAATCCGAGCAGCAACAAAGATTCTGAGAACTGATCCTTCTTTAATATATATGTACAAGACATTAAATGAGCAAAGCCAAAAATACAGCATCAAAGAAGGAGGTTGAGTTGGTAGAAGGATCTGTATCTGTATAAACAAAGTAATAGTAAGAAGTCATGTACACCTGTATGAACATGACTGGATGATACTAATCAGCTTTTTCCCCAAATTATTATTTGATCGATCAGATGTGCTCAATGTGTGCTGTAGTCACCTAGTAAATGTGTTAGCAAACAGTTGCCTATTAACACAAACAGCAGATAATGACACCCATTTGTTTGGAATTGTGTTTTAGCCACCTGATGATTGTACGTCCAATATTCATGCTTCATTTAGCTCAGTTATGGTCCACCAGCTCCTGAGAGAAATATCTGAGTCTTCAGAAGTTAAATGCTCCACTAGCTCTACCAGCTAGTTGCTAACTGTGTCTGTCTGCTGTTTGGTGCTGTTCCAGTAGCATACAGAAATTTTTGTTTTCCTGAAAAAGCTGCCAGTAATGCCAAAACAATGGGCTGAAAGATGCTAAAAAGCTCTGATAATTCTCTGTGGGTTTGTCATTTTTTCATTGCTAATATGAAAATACCAATTACTGCAGCTTTAACCTATACGTGATTAGGGCACACTTTATATTTGTTCATCTTCAAAAACTACTCTTTGTTAATTAATCTGGCCATTCTTTGAAAGATGGCACAGCTCTCTGAAATCACATTTCATGATTTCTAGGATTTGACATTCTCAACATTCAAAAGAGTTTCCTGTCAGCATGTGAAGTTTCCTACTGCGGCTATAAGCAACAGCCTCTAATCTGAAGTTGAGCTTCCACTCCCCGTTGTCTCTCAACTTCTAACAGCGCGTTGAAGTGCAAAAACAACTTGCAAGGAATAGGAGCAGTTAGTTTATAAGACAGCAAAGCAGCAACAACAATACAATAATGTCTTTGGATGTTATTGTTGTTTTTCAAAACTGAACGGTGCATTTGAACACTTAAAGGTTACATAGCAAACAAGCTGGCACCGTACTGAAATGCACATTGATTGCCACAGTAACATTACTGTGAACCAAACCTTGTTATTCATTTGAAAAACTGCCTTCCACTATGTCCGATATCCCTCTGGAACAGCTGTTTTTTATTTCTCACATCACAAGATGCCTCAGACTGTTGTACAGTATGAGATAAAGAATTCAGATCTTCACAGCTAGGAAAACATTCAAGCTCAGGAGTGTGAGGTGATCTGTGCGGAAGCTTTCACAGACAATGCCTTGTTTATTTCTTCTGTTCAAAGTTTCTGTCTGAAGTGGTTCTCAACAACCTCCACCTAGATGGCTTCTCACACAGACTGACTCTGAAAGGAGAGAATGAGAAGCGGCATGCACAGCTAGGTCTGCGGGTTGTTTGTGCGAATGGGCTTCGGTGTAGCACCCGAGGACATTAAGCAAAGGTCACGTAGATGTTGTCACAGGTGAGTGGGTTGCAGTTAATGTGTGTGTGTGTGTGTGTGTGTGTGTGTGTGTGTGTGTGTGTGTGGAGGAGGCGGCCCTGGGAACGAGAGAGAGATGAGCTGATGACAATATGTCCTCTTAGTTGTCCTTGAGGGTTAGGAGATAGAGGCTGCAGTCAGGCGGAACTGGATGCGTGTCACTCACGGCAGGGTGGTGATGGCGGTGGATGCAGGGGTGGGTTGGTGGAAAGCGTAGGTGGGGAAGGTGGCGCACGGGTTGCACAGTGCATCGGCCTCCTGGGAGCCCTAGGCAGCCCCGTGATGGATCGAAGTGGGCAGCAGCTTAGACAGTCACACTGGCGAACATCGTGTCCTTTTGGTTTGGTCCTTGCTGTTTTTTAGAACACGTAGAAACTTGTGGTTCAAATTCAATTTGATAAGCCATGTATTGTGGCGTATTTATATGAGCATATATATTCATAAGCACATTATAGACAAAAAAATCCTCATACGGAAAAGTATTTGTCAGTGCCATCTTTGAGCCCAGTATATACTGATATACTAATATATACTATAAACTATAATATATACTATATATATTACTAGTAGCCAGTAAGTTTTAATAAGAAATGTAAAATGTTTAATTATTGTATTTGCCAAGTCACAAAATGTTGTTTTTACTGTAAAATGTTCACTGATAGAGTATTTCATTTTTGTTTCCTACAGTTTCTGCCATTGTAATATCCACTCTTAACGACACATAATGAAACTTTTAAGTTGTTAGATTTAA